AAAAAAAATAAAATAAAATATATCCCACGTTTTGAGGACTTTATTTTCTTCAACAATTTAATTACTTTTTTAAAAATTTCACATAAACCCAAAGGAACTAATGTGATGCTTTACTTTTTTACGCAAAACAACGTTGAAATTTATGCTCCATAACTATAAAAAAAATACTCTTCTTTTTTTTGTTGAAAAAGAAAATACTTTTTCTACATCATGAAAAGAAAATACTCATTTTGTTGAAATGAAAGAAAAATACTTTTTCTACGTCATGAAAAAAGGTACTTTTTTTGTTGAAATGAAAGAAAATACTCATTTTGTTGAAATGAAAGAAAAATACTTTTTCTACGTCATGAAAAAAAAGTACTTTTTTGTTGAAATGAAAGAAAATACTTTTCTACATCATGAAAAGAAAATACTCATTTTGTTGAAATGAAAGAAAATACCTTTTCTACATCATGAAAAGAAAGTACTTTTTGATTAAAATAAAAAAATACATTTTTATATGATGAAAAGAAAATACTTATTTCTTGAAATGAAAAAAATATTTTTTCTACATCATGAAAAGAAAGTACTTTTTTGTATCTTAACATGAATAGAAAGTACAACTAATAATATTTTTATTTAGGGTGAGGACGAGGGCGGGGTGGGGTAGGGTGGGTTGGGGTGGGGGCGGGGTGGGTTGGTGGGGATGGGAATAGAGTGGGGAAGGTTGAAAAAGAGTTTCGAAAAATATTTTCCCCATTATTGGTAGGAAAAACATTTGGCTCCAATTGGAGGAAAATGAGTTCATGAGGAAAATATTTTTCAAAATATTTAATCCAATCAAACATGAAAAAATTGAAAAATATTTTCCTTCGTACCCCACACACACCCTAAATTCCTCTAGTTTTCTTGCTAGCTTAGGCCTCAAAAGTACATTTACATACTACTTCCTGCATGATCAATCTAACAAGAACTTCAGTTGGTCGACTCTCTTCCTGAAAAATCCTCATGTTCCTCTCTTGCCATAAGTGGTATATGCAAGCAGTGAATGTCATTTTATAGATTTCTGCATCGGCTGTTCTCCCATTCATGTGTCTCCGTCCATAGCATTTCATCCTTTTAATGTAGTGATCGATCGTCTTGGTTTAACTTGCCATGTCATCAGGACAATGCCAATATAGCACATCCAAAGAACAAGTGATATATATATACTGACTCAGTAGCATCCCTACACAGAGAACGATTGAGATGTTGAGTAAGCCCCCACGCAGCACATCTATCCTTAGTGAGTAGAGTAATCTCTTATGTATATCCAAGTTCATTATAAAGATCCATTTGGGAGATGCAATGTTATTGTGGATCAGTCTCTTCCAAGTTACTTTCTGAAAACTACCTCGCATGTAGGTTTTAGCCATGAAGATTTTCTGAACCACCCATGATGCTTATTTTGGAGAAGAATCCCATATTGGTTGCACCTTCCCATAGTATACATGGAGCCATTGTACCCACAATCTTTCTTCCTTCTTACATAGGATCTTGCATATGACTATCATCATCGTTCCCGGTATGCAAGTCAAGCACATTGAAACCCCCCTGCAGTCCTTGGATAACACACTTTTTCCCAAGATAGTAAGGCATTTCTTGAGTTGTCCACACCACCTCTCCATAGGTAAGTTCTACATGTAGTCTCAATCTTCTTGATGATCTTTTTCGCTAGTACAATTTTAATGAGTTGTAGTTTTCCTGCATAAGACAAGTATTTGGAAGTCCAATAGTTAATTCTTCCCAGCATTCTCTCAATTAATACTTGACATTGCATGATAGAGATCATCTTAGCACTCAAGGTCACCCCTAAATACTTAAAGGGGAGTTCTCCTCTAGAGAATCCAGTGAGTCTAGGATCTTATGTTGCACAATTTGGCTCACACCACCAAAATAAATAAAAAATTTCTATATATTTGGCGTCAAAATTGTGGCCATTGAAAACCTTTTGAAACAATCATACGTCATCTGATATAGTATTTCCTTTGTAGAACAACAGGAAGTCATCTGCAAAACCCAACTGCACTATGGTCAACTTATCACATTTAGGGTGATAGTTGATATCAAGTTTGGTTTGTAGGGTTTTCAGCATCCTTGATAGGTACTCCATGACTAAAATAAACAGGTAGGGCGATAATATTTTACTAGGTTACCAGTAATCAAGATAGAGTATGAAACTGTGCAATCATATTTTATAATATAGTTGAGAAACATAGTAGAAAAATTCAGGATTGTGAGCGTTTGTTCTAAGAAAGGTCATTCCACAGATTCGTAGGCCTTTTGCATATCTAGTTTGATCATACATCTAGGTGATACCCCTTTTCTACCATAACCTTTCACTAGCTCATAACTTAGTATAATGTTATCAGTGATAACTGTCCCAGGAACAAAAGATGATTGACTGTTATCGACCAAAGAATCCATAACCCAATGCAGTCTATTTGTTAAGATCATAGACATAATCTTAGCACTGTACAACAGGAAATAGGTCCTGAATTCTCTTAAATTTGAGGGTGTTTAACCTTTAGGATCAAAGTGAGACTCTCTCGTGTGGCAAAGTAACTGATAACTGCATCTGTGATTTTCTTTCCTATAATTTATCATATCCTTTTAAAAATTAAGGATTTTAAACCATCACAACATGGAGCTTACCTATCATCAGTTCTACGTAATGCATTGTAAACTTCTCCAGCAGTTACAGGTTCAATAAGCCGCAATTGTTGTTTTCTATCTAGAATGCTACCTTCCTTCATCACCCCAATTTGGAATGCTGGTAGACTACAAGCAGAAGATCCCAACAGCTTTTTGTAACTTCATGTTCAATGCCCTTTTCAGTTTGAATAATATCTCCTTTTGAGTTAACCAGTTTTAGTTTTCAGATTTTGTTCTAACTAACTCTATTCTTCATGTAGGCATAGAAGTAGGCAGAATTGGAGTCCCCAAGTTTTAACCATCGAACCCTAGACTTCTGGTGATATATACATTCCTCAATTGAGCCCCATTTTTTCTGTTGTTCTTCTTCAAAAGTGTTGTAAGGTGCATTACTATCCCTTGCATTTGCCTTGACTTCTTTAACTATTATCTAATATTATTAACTCCTGCCTCTATACCTTGGAACTCTGCATTATGCCAAGGTTTTTAGTGCATTCTTCACCTTCTTAAGTTTTGACCATATTGTCTTCATACATGATCCTTGTTGTCCACCCCAAGCTTCCTTTAAGTCTTCATGATATTCAATATAGTTAAAAACATAAATGTTTTGGACTTCACGATCCAAATCTACATGACCGACACCCGGCACACTATCTGACCGGAGCGAACCAACCCATATGATGCACCCAAACTATATGCATGCAAAATTAATTTAACTGCGAAAGCTCTTTGAAAATTATATATTTTTAAGTTAAATGATGGAATATGTTCCAATTCAACAATACATGAAAGCTCTCTAATCATAACAATGAGACTAAGTAAAATAAATATCTTTCCATGTATGTTGTGTACAATCCCATCGCTACAATTCTTCACAACTATCTATGGAGCCTCTATACCAAAGAATAGAACTGAACACTTGCACTAATGGCCGACTAATATAAAATAAGAAAACAACCTGATAGCTACCACGAAATAGGAGTGATGTCTCACCATATACATCAGAAACAGAGTCATCCTAGTCCTGTTCGTATACCATGTATCACACCTCATCCTGAAATATGTAAAGTAAGTGAGGCCCTAGAGAGGGGTCCTGAGGGCTGAGTACACCACCACGATACTCAATAAGTGCCATAGACTCTCTCTAACTCATGTTTCTGAGATAAGATTTTACAAAAAAACTATGCAACCAATATTTGATATAAAGTGATAAACAGTTATATAAATCATGCTCTTTATCATTTAAAATGAAATGACAAATGAAATGTAAACCATGATATAAGTTTTTAGAACATTTATATCAATTCAAGATTTTAATAAAAATCATATAAACCCATTTCAATTGTATTAAGTCACTGAAGTCTGTTTCGGCTCCTTAGGCCTAAACATAAGAAAATTATTATCTTTCACCGGGAGTACTATACCGACACCGACATAATAAGCAGCTACTAGGTGATCAACCTAGCAACAAGTATTTGACCCTACTTGTCTAGGTAGCTTTCTGTAGTGTCGTACGAGTCGACTTAATCTCATTACTTTAAGTAATGATCATTTGCCCTCTCAATGGGGGACTTTATCCCACAAACTTCGGCTTAGCCTTGGAATGCTTCCCTACACTGGCATGTGTAGTTCCATAGTATTAGACCGTGTCCTTCCCAGTTGGATAAGGGATAGGTTTTAGCTATTCTTAACTTGTATTCTAGCGTAACTGTATCTCTGAATCCTTATCAAATTGAATAGCCTTCTTGCATATATTTGCATTCAAAGAAGCTGTATGGATGTAGAGAGAAATAATAACAAACCAATGCTTCAACTTCTCTGTTTCTGGTGCTTTTACATGGAATTAGAGCCATGGCGATCTCTTCTTCCGCCACTACCCAGTCCACCTCTCTTTTCTCTTCTCCGACTTCACTTAACCATGCTCACCACTTTATCTCCATAAAATTGACTGCCACAAATTATCTTTTTTGGCGCACACAATTGTTGTCGTTTCTCCATAGCCAGAATCTTCATGGATTTATCGATGGTAGTCACCCTTGCCCACCATCCCATGTCTTAGTTGCCAACGCCACAGGTGATGGATCCCAAACAACAACTATTAATCCTGATTATGCAGTATGGATCCAGTAAGATCAATTAATCTAGAGACTCATATCCTCCTATCGGAAGAGACACTTCCCATTGCCATTGGAATAAACACTTGGAAAGCAGTTTGAGGCTGCGCTTTCTTTTCTCTCCAACACTCGGATTTTGAGCCTTCATATGCAGCTTCAAAACCTGAAGCAAGATGATCTAACTGTCACACAATATATATCTACACAAAGGCAAAACTAATTTCGGATGAGTTGACCGCTGCTAGGCGCCCTTTATGTCTCGCAAACCAAAAACATCTACATATTTAAAGGATTGCATTCAGAATTTAAAGATATTGTTATCGGCACGACCTCAACCAGTTACTTTTGAGAATTGCATAGTCTTCTTCTGAATCATGAGTTCATCAATGGCTCGTCACTTTTCAATCTCTTAGTTTTTACTCCGCCGCAACCAGATTCAGTCCAACATCCTCTAGCAAACTTTGCCCACAAGAATGCACAACCTGATCGTATACTAACAGAGGTTTTGGAAGGTCCAATTGCGGTCGTGGTGGAAGAGGTGGTCGCTTTAATTCCACAAATTATTCCACCTATAGTTAACCTTGGCAATCCACCAACCAGTGACAAAAGTGACAAATTTGCAATAGCAATAACCACACTGCCCCAAATTGCTTTCAACGTTACAGCCAAGCGACTAATCCAGCATCGCATTCGACTCCAAACACACCTTCTCAGCAGTGGTTCCCTGACGCACCACATCACTCCTGATCTCACCAGATTGAGCATTATAAAGGACCAGATCAAGTTCATGTTGGTAATGCCATTCTTCCATCCCCTTTTTGACTCTTTCGTCTAAATAATATTCTTCACGTTCCTGCTATCACTAAACGTTTACTCTTTGTCCAACGTTTTGCTCGTGATAATAATGTTTTCTTCGAATTTCATCCCTACCATTTTGTTGTGAAGGATCGGGCTTCCAAGACATCACTTCTTTCAGGAAAGAGTGATAGGGACTCTTCTACTTCCAAGTCTAATTTACCCTCGGCTCTTTACTCTATCAAAGCATCTCCATCTTGCTGGCACCTTTGACTAGGACATCCTCATGAAGGAATTCTTTAAGTTATTAGGACACAAAAATTGCCTTGTACTAGTTCTAGTTTTTATTCTATTTGTAGTGCTTGTCAACTCGCACAAATTGTCTTTACCTTTGAGCATCAATAAGAGTTCTTCCATTTTATAGTTATTATTATATGTCCATGTCTGGGGTCCGGCACCCACTCTTTCATCTCAAGGACACGGATATTTTCTAATATTTGTTGATTATTACACCGAGCTATTCTTGGGGGTATCCTCTTTCTTCAAATCTGATGTGTTGCCAATATTTAATCAATTTCGTACCCTTGTTGAAAGACAATTTAATAGCAATCAAATCCGATTGGGGCCGGGAATTTCGATCCTTATCACCTGTGCTTGGTCAACATGGAATTGCTCATCGAGTCTCTTTCCCTCATACTCATGAGAAACAAGGAAAAGTTGAACAAAAACATCGCCATGTAGTTGAAACTAGTCTTAACCTTCTTGGCCGCAGTTCAATTCCCTTTTGCTATTGGCAATACGCACTTGAGTCCGTTGTTTTTCTCATTAATCGCCTTCCCTCAGTTACAACTTGTTGTCTCTCTCCGTATGAACTAGTCCATAATTCCATACCTAACTATTCTTTTCTTAAGTTCTTCGGTTGCTTATGTTTTCCCTCTCTCCGACCTTATAATAAACACAAGTTTGATTTTCGAAGCAAACCTTGTGAGTTTATTGGATACAAGCCAACTCACCTTGGGTATCGCTGTTTAGATCAATCCACCAGACGAGTCTATGTTGCCCGACATGTTCGCTTTGATGAACATATATTTCATTCGCCAAACCATCGATCCTTGGCCCTGCACCCAATCAGTCCTCGTCTACTGCACCTTGGGCTTCCCTTCCAGTTGTCTCCATCAAGAGTTGTTCACCAATCCTCTCCCATTGGAGTTCTTTCTCTGGTATTTCCTAATTCCGCTCAATCACCTCCACCTTGACTAGTTTATCCTACTATTAATTCAGGAGACTCTTCTTCCCCCTCCTTAAATCCCGATCACACTCCCAGTCCATCCCCATATCTAGTCCGACATCTTCTTCACATTCTCCCACTCCACAACCAACTTCCCTCCAAGGTGTTCCCAACACCTTATCCCCCCGCTTACCTCTTGTTGTCGACTTAAGTAGCTATGATATGTTCCCAGATCCTTCCCCGGATTCATTGCCTCCTCCAACCCGTATCCATAGGCTCAAAGTCCCTCCTCAATGCTCACATCATATGGTTACTTAGGCACATGCCCCCGTCCTCTAATTTGGCCACTACCTCAGATTCATTACTCCCTCCCGCATATGAGCCATCTAGTTTCAGTGAAGCTTCTAAACATAAAGAATGGTGGGATGCTATGGCATCTGAAATGGATGCATTACTACGGAACGACACTTGGTCATTGGTTCCTTATGGTCCCTCATTGAATAATCTTAGGTGCAAATGGGTATTTCGCATCGAAAGAAATTCTTCTAGTGCGATAGAGCGCTATAAGGCTCGCTTAGTCACCAACTTGAGGGACATGACTACTACAAAATGTTTAGCCCCGTTGTTAAGCCGACTACCATTCGCAATACCTTGGCAGCATCTCACAATTGGGTTTTGTGTCAATCAGATATGCAAAATGCCTTTCTCCATGGTGAGCTGCAAGAGCAAATCTTTATGTCACAACCTTCCGGCTTCATACATCCTCAGTATCCGAATCATGTCTGTAAACTTAAGAAATCCCTCTACAATCTCAAACATGCACCTCATGCATGGTACATGCGCCTTCTTAAGTTCCTTCTCACTGCTGGGTTCACTACTTCAAAATCAGATACATCCTTGTTTATTTATCGAGCTCATGGTGTAGTGCCTTATATCTTGCTCTATGTAGATGATATTATTGTCACTGGAAACAACTCATCCTTCTTGGAAAGCATGATCTCGAAACTTGGTGCAGAATTTTCAATTCCTGACCTTAGTCCCTTGAGTTTTTTCCTTGGAATTCAAGCCTCTCATGGATCTTCCGGTATTACCCTCTCTCAGGAGCAGTACATTACTTCTCTTCTCAAAAATGCTAATATGCATTGCTATAAACCACTTTCCACACCTATGGTAGTGAATTCGAAGCTCCACGTTGGTGACAGTCCCCTATTCCATGATGCCACTTTGTATCGAAAGGAGCCTTACAATATGTCACTCTCACTCGTCCTGACATTGCCTTTGTCTTCAACAAAGCTTGCTTGCCAATTTATGCATAATCCCACAGTCAATCAATGGGCTGCAATAAGTGCATTCTCCGCTATTTAAAGAACACTGAACATTTCTATTTTCACATTCCGCGCTTTCCACATTGTTTCTTCAGGCTTTTACTGACACGGATTGGGCAGGGTCCCTAGATGATCATAAGTCGGCTGGAGGGTATGCCAGCTTCCTTGGTAATACTCTCGTCTCATGGTCTTCAAAGAAACAACGTACTGTGGCTCGATCCTCCACTAAGTCAGAATACAAGACACTCGCTGATGTTGTAGCCGAGCTAACTTGGATTCGGTCTATCCTCAGTGAGCTTGGGGTGCACCTCCCCAAAGCTCCTATCTTGTTGTGATAACATTGGTGCGGCCTACCTCTCCATTAATCAGTCTCTCATGCTCGCACAAAGCATGTCGAGATATATTTTCATTTTGTTCGGGTTAGGTCGCTAAGAAGGATCTCCTGGTACAATTCTTGTTGTCTAACGATCAATTGGCCGATGTATTGGAAAAGCCACTTTCAGCTGCACGCTTTGAGTTTCTACGTTCCAAAATGAACGTGTCTTCGCGTCCTTCAGTTTGCAAAGGGAGTATTAGACCGTGTCCTTCCCAGTCGGATAAGGGATATGTTTTAGCTATTCTTAACTTGTATCCTAGTGTAATTGTATCTCTCAATCCTTATCAAATTGTATAGCCTTCTTGTATATATTTGCATCCAAATAAGTTGTATGAATGCAGAGAGAAATAATAACAACCAGTGCTTCAACTTCTCTGTTTCTGGTGCTTTTACACATGGTAATATTCGAACCAATCTCGCTTGTCTCCAATGGTAACTCCTGAAATATTTGAATATCAGAAATAGATTCATAGCCTAATAGCCTCAAATGATCCATTTTTATCAAATCATGATTTTTATAGCCAATACAAACCATTTGAACAATATCAAAAAAATCACCATGTTAAATCCTTTGGCAATTTAACATCAATCTTTTAAAAATACAATAACTGGTGCTCTATTGTTCAAATTTCAAAAGACATACTTTTTCATGAAAACATATCTTTTGCATTCAAACATTTTATACTCTTATCAACACATAAGTTTTAATAAAACTTATAATGTTTTCCTTAAGTGTCATCTTGCAAACAAGTTTTGGAAATAAGATTCTTATAAAATCACATCACACTTCATAAGCAACAAACATAGAAACACAAGGTGACATCCTTTTCGCTAGTCCCCACAAATATGATGCACATTTATAAATAATATCACGTATGAACTCAAAATATGATTTTAGAGAGACTCCCTCAAGAAGAGTAAGTCACAATCAACTTACCTCAATCTTCAAGCTCCAAATAATACTACACTGCTCCAATTGATTAAAATGCTCAAATATCGCAAACAATTCAATATCTACCATTAGATATGCCAACTACATCAAAACAATCACGAAAATATTCATGAATATCTATTTAGGCTTCAAAATTTGTCAACAAGCCTTCAACCATTCCAAATTATCCAATAGGTCCACCAATTAGCCTATTCAATTCTATTCTTATCATTAAATACTCATTTAGAGTCATTAATGATACAATATTATTTACTCGACATCACCAAGTCACTACTCATTATCTTCCCCAACAAAACTCTACTGAACATCCAATTCATGAACTAATGTTATTTCTTAGCCAAATGGTGATTCCCCCTTCAATCTGTCCATCAATTAGGTTATCAAGTCTATTGGCATCATTAAAAGTACAAAACAAATTCATTTATATCAGCCCACCACTATTCACCTTCTTCTTCATTCAAAATATTATTTTCAAGATCCACGATTAGAATTTATATAATACTCCATTATAACTTCAAATAAACTTCATGAAAATGCTACCCATACTCCAATATATCATATATGTGAAGCTCAATTAAATAAATTACCTCTTGATGGAAGAATCTCATTTTTCACTTTTTGGATTTTGATCCATAATAATGTTAATGTTATATCAAATGGTGTTATATAATTATTCGTATACCAAATAAACTTACCTTGAAGTATATTTATGGTGGGAGAGTTCCTCCTTCTCTCTAGAACCCAAACCCTTGTCCAAAATTCCATATCTTTCTCTTTCTCCGATATAGCCACTTTTATAGTTCTGATCGAATTTGTAGCTAGGCACACCTCATGTGTAGCTATGCTCCCTTCCTCTTCACCTCTTGCTGGAATTAGCTACGCACAAGGCAGCATAGCTATGCACAACTCTCGTAGTTGTATGGCTGTTGTGCTATCCTTCAATAATTAGATCATAACTTCTTATAGGAATATCAAATGACGAACAGTTTGAATTATTGAAAACTAGACTCATAAATCTTTAATTTTATAGGTCTTCTAATACATAAATCTTCAAATATTAGGAGTTGTGCTTGTTTGAAGTTAGGTCATGTGCAAACTCATTTAAAACTTTAGCTCATCATATAGTGTCCAACTTGATTTAGTCTTAGGGCTCTTCTTAGACCATAAATCATTATTAATGCACCTTGTACACATATTATCATGATCAATTGATAGTATTCATATCATTAGTCCTCATCCATACGTGAATTAATATAATTAGCATACATTAATCTTCTTAATAGCCTTAAAATACTTTGAAATTTTTCGGGGTGTTACATCACTCTTTCCTTTTGTTGATTCACTTTCGGCTGTAGGATTACAACTTGGTCTTGTGTCGTTGCCAATTTTGAAGTTCCACCCTCTTTACCCTGTTTTACTTTCCATTCATGTGTTTGCTTATTGTACCAGATTTACTGAGGTTGTTGATTAGCTATAGTCTGGCAGCTATGCCTCAACTGTAGGCACTTGGCACAATACACCGGTTTCCTGTCATAATCAACCACATGATCAAATTGTCTTCCATTGGGATCCTTCAATTTTACCTTTGTAGGCAATGGTAGAGTTATGTTCATTTCCACAAGGATCCTAGCAAAGATCCTATCATAGGAGATATGGTCAATTTTGGTAGTGCAATCATCCACTTAGATAGGATTCCCTAAGCTACTCCAAATTCTGCTCAGTGATTCATTTTCCCAGCAGTTAAGAGGTAAGTTGGGTTGTCTTACCCATAGTGGGATAATCTTCAGTATCTCTTCATTAAAATTAAATTTGTTGCTCATGCTTTAGTGATGACTAGTTTGCTATTGATCATATATGGTCCAGAGTATAGAGCTTTATTGCTGTCACGACCCCAAACCCACGCAACATGATGACACAAAACCCAACCCGCTAGATAAGCCAACAATCACACGATATCAATGAATATGGAATAACATGGTCTAATAACTCAACAATGGAAGAATATCATAAAAATATCTGAGAATAAAACAAAAATGCTACTACAACCAACCCCAAAATCTGGTGTCAACGAGCACACGATAAAGATAATAGAAAGAGGACTTCAAGGATTGCGAATGACATAGAAACTACCTCATAGTCTCCTGAAAGATGGCAATGACTCAAGCCTAAAACCCACTTCAACCGGATGTACCTGGATCTGGACACGAAGTGCAGAGTGTATATGAGTACAATCGACCCAATGTACTAAATAAGTAACAACACTAACCTTGGATTGAAAGCAGTGACGAGTTCAGAACAATAGTGAAATGCCAATACCAATAACCGATAGAAGTTCAGAATATAAAGATAAACCTTAGAAACAATAGCTCAATTATATCAAGTTCAGCTTGTTCACATTTTAGTAATTTAGGCGTGCTTTCAAGTATAACAAGCCCAACACAGATAAAGCAGGTCCATTATCAAATAGCATGAGGAAAATAAATCTATATGCATACATATCAAGTATACATGTAAATCAACGATATCATAGTGGATCCGCAAAAATATTTACACTTAGCACTGTCCAAACCTTCAACTTTCCAACTTTCGCCAATTCAAGCCAAAATGACCAACAGACCTCCAAATCAATATCCGGACACATGCTTAAGTCCAAAATCATCATATGAAGCTATCAGAACCATCAAAACTCCATTCTGGAATTGTCTACAAAAAAGTCAAACTCCAGTCAACTCTTTCAACTTAAGCGTTCAACCTTGGGACTAAGTATCACAATTCACTCCGAAACCAATCCAACCACCCCGGCAAGTCACATAACCATAATTAAGCATAAAAGAAGTGATAAATGGGGGAACATGGCTACAATATACAAAATGACCGGCTGGATCGTTATATTTTCCGCATATTAAACAAACTTTCGTCATTGAACAAGTCTAGAATCATACCTGGAGTTTCAAATAGGCATGGATATCTGCTCCGCATCTCCCGCTTGGTCTCCCAAGTAGCCTCCTCGACTAGTTGGCCTCTCCACTGAACATTCATTGAAACTATATTCTTTTATCTCAACTTTCGAACCTGTCGATCTAAAATGGCCACCCGCTCCATATCATAAGTCAAATCCCCATCTAACTAAACCGTGCTGAAATCAAAAAAATGGATCACCATAATACTTCCGGAGCATAGAAACATGAAAACTAGGTGAACACCCGATAGACTAGGTAGTGATTCAAGCTTTTAGGTCATCTCTCCAATCCTCTCAAGCACCTCAAAAGGTCTAATATACCGAGGGCTTAACTTGCCATTCTTTTTGAACCTCATCACACCCTTCTTGGAAGATACACTGAGCAATACCTTCTCTCCCACCATATAGGCAACACCACAAACCTTTCGATTAACGTAACTCTTCTATCTAGATTATGTTGTACGAAGCCGATCCTAAATCAACATGACTTTCTCTAAGGCATCCTGAACCAAATCAGTACCCAACAACCTAACCTCTCCCGGCTCAAACAAACCAACTGGAGAACAAGATCACCTCCCATATAAATCCTCATAAAGAGCCATCTGAATACTTGATTGGTAGTTGTTGTTGTAGGCAAACTCCGCAAGCGGTACAAACTAATCCCAAGAACCCCCAAAATCTGTAACACAAGCGCGTATCATGTCCTCCAAGATCTGAATGGTGCGCTCGGATTGTCGATCCATCTGGGGGTGGAATGCGGTACTCAAGTCAACTCGAGTGCCCAACTCTCACTGCACTGCTGTCTAAAACTGCGATGTGAACTGCATACCCCAATCAGAAATAATAAACACTGGCACACCGTGAAGACGAATAATCATGCGGATATAGATCTCATCCAGCCGCTTTGAAGAATAGGTAGTCATAACCGGAATGAAATATGTAGACTTAGTCAATCGATCCACAATCACCCAAACTGCATAAAATTTCTTCAAAGTCCGTGGGAGCCCAACAACAAAGTCCATGGTAACACGCTCCCATTTCCACTCAG